TGTTAATAATTTCAATAACCCACCCTTGTCATTTTATGACTCAGAGCTCCCTTGTAAACACGCGAGAGGAATGTTTAGCCATTGTTAGCAGCAAAGGAAGCAGTCTCACTGCTGATTAATTATTCAATAGTTATCTGACGTCATTTTAGGCTTCCTACATTCTGATTGGCTAAAAGAAACATATATTTGCTTATGTGTACTGCAGAAAAAAAATACGCGGCCCGGCCGACTGGGCCCCCTTGAAACTGCCACTTGTAGTAAGTGACCCATCATTATGATTTCAGACAATGGCGATATAACATTTGTATACATTTTCAGTCCATTACTGGTCAGTGAATTTTTGTTGCAGGTTGAATTTTATTGTCATGAAAACAGTTGGAAAAATATGATTTATTATATTTTATTATGTGTCGGTACCGGTATATCTTACAATCAAATATAGGCCTAATTGAAGGCCTATGTGCCATAAGTATATGCGGTATCATAATAATAACGTAGGACTATTTATGTCATCAATGACCTAAACTTCGATTTCTTACGGTCATTACATAGCCTAAAATCATAATCATTATCATCGTCTGATCGAGTAAGCTCAAACATTAACAGTCATGCCCTTTGTCACTGCCAATCACCTTCTTAGAGGAATTTGCCTAATACCAGCTGGTATAATTATTTTCTTATGTATAATGTACATAAATATTATTTCTATGTTCTAACTACTCAGTAACATTTGGCATTGTATGTACGCAGGTTGCATTGAGGTCATTCATGAAAATGCAAACGATGATGACACTGAGACAACAAATGGACATGAAATTACGGAATACGATGAGTGTATCTTAACGAATGTGACCCTCCAATCTAACGTTGACTTCCAAAGAGTAAGTACAGCGTGTGGATCCAGGGGTGCACCCACCCCCATCCGACAGCAGCCAAAAATCGCTAACCAAGTGTAAAATCATTTAGATAAGAGAGTAAAATGGCTTAAACTTCCGAAGCATCCAGGTAGATGGTCACCCAAAATAGGTAAGGGCCGGAACACCCGAAAGGCTTTCTCGATAGTTCCGTTCCCTTCGGACGACTACCACGTCTCCACCCCGGCAAAAAAAAAAAAAAAATTTTTAAATCTGGATTTGCCACTGATGAAAGATACAATATGATGTAGGATATAATATAAATTATAACCTAAAGTTTTATTTTATTTATTATGATCCGATGTTGTTTCCTTTATATAATCGTCATCGTCTAAGTCTAATTTATATGTACTTGTTTATGTAGTACATGGGGAAGTGGTATGAAATAGCTAAAAAAAGAACAACTGAGGAATACGAAGTTCCTGATTCTACTACTACGATTTTAAGAATGATTGACAACAATACTATTGCAATGCAACTTGATCTTTTCAGAGTGTGAGTATTCTACTTCTTATCTATTCTTATCACCATCTAATGTCAGGTGTAAAATTGAAGACAATCCAAATTGTAATTATTGGTGAGATAGGAGTACCGTAGATCAGTGGCGTATCTATAAGTGGGGGTGCTGATACAGGTGCGAAGGTGAAGTGGGGGATGGGGCTCGATGATCAGTTGAGGGGCGCTAACTCGCAAAATAAGGGGATTTTAGGTGATTTTTAACTATTTGACCGTGACTTCTAGGTGGGTGGGTGAGGCAACTGGGAGGGGCGTGACCCATCCTAGATACGCCACTGACGATAGTATTGTACATACTCCAAGTATTGAAGCGCCATCGTGTTTGGATTCAATAATCCTACATTAATTATGTCATCATCAGGATGATTTATGTCAAAATTGAATCCCAACACAATGGCGTGCATTTCAATACTTGGAGTATGTATTTGCTGCGAAGCAGCCAATTCATATTCTTGACAGCTACTTGACCTCTGAAAGGTCATTGTTTGTCAAAAAACAAGGGCCTAAGACGACTGAAAAGCGGAGTTTCCTTCTTTCGTTCTGCCGGGTAAAATCAATTACTTTAGGCGACGTTTGTAGACTTCCTACACGTACCAACGTCCGCATGTCGCGACGCTCGAGTATTACTATTCATCGTTTTTACTATATTTCTAGGTTTCCTATTTCTACGTTTAATCGGCACATGTCTCAGCCACAATATTTTGAGGCCAATATTATTTACGAACCCAGTTAAACTTTACTAGCCTATTTCAGCGTGCTAATTATTACATTTAGGCGTCGCTTGTTGTAGACTGGCATACACGGTACCAACGCTCGTTTTTACTATGTTTCTACGTCAGCTCGAGACGCTTGAGTATTACTATTCAGCGTTTTTACTATATAAATGTCAACTCGGCCCAAGTCTCGGCACAGTATTTTGAGGCCTATAGTATTTACGAACCCAGTTAAACTTATTTATGTCAACGTGCTAATTATTACATTTTAAAACAATAATTAAAAATGTATTATACTAGGGGCCGCGAAACTGTGGCCAAGTTGACTTGGTGCCGAGTTAACTCGAATTCTATCATGCTTACTAGTAGAGTCATTTTCATGAGATCCGTGACTAATTTTAGGATACCTTTTCTTCTCGATGGATTTGGCAAGATGGACCAATTTAGATAAAATATAGCTCCTATATACCTCCCAGATATTGGGGGAAAGTCCCGTTTGTGGGGCGTTTTTTCAAAATGGCCGCCTGTTGATTTGGACGCTTGTATCTCGATAACCACTGGTCAGAGAGACTTGATTTTAGTCTCAAATTGTTCACAATATGCATATTCCTATTTGTTGTAATACAACTTTTTATCAACAAATGGCGGGACATGCGATTTTTGAAAGTTTGACCTTTAACCTTGTATTGTCATATCTCAGTAATTACTGGTCATAGAGACTCACAATTAATTGCAAACTGTTCAGGAGATTCATGTTTATATTCGTTCTAATGAAACAAATATTCAAATAGTGACCGGAAACGATAGAGTCTGACCTTTGACCTATTGTAGGCTCATTCCATGTCAAATCAACCAGATTAAAAAGAAATTCCTGTATGACCGTCTCAGATTTTGATGAAACTCCATAAAAATGATCCACCGTATGAAAAACCAAAAAAAAAAAATTAGCCTCATAGGATATGTAGTTTTCGAGATATTGACTCCTCAAAAATATGGGGCGTGGTTCTTCAAGATGTGCAAACGCAATTTACTTCAACTTTGAAAGCTTATAACTCGAGATTGGTAATAGCTATCAGGGTCAAACTTGGTATTCTAACTTCTTCTTTGCCATATTTCACAAATATGGCCTTAGATTAACAGTTATCCCTTTTGAAGTTATCTGCACTCAAAGTAGCCGCTTTGTTTAACGATGCAATTTTTTGTGATTTTCGAGGTCACCCTGCGTCTATATGAGTGAGTATATACACTTTATATTACAGATGTATTATCTATGTGTAGTTGTCTCTAGCCACATGCAAGCGCAGGCTGATCAACTCAATTAAAACTGGGGTAAATTTAAGAAAAGATTTTAAATGTCCACATGACGATCCGTTGTTGAGAAACATAGGCGTTTTTCACTTTTATAGATCTGGTCCCAAGTTTGAATATATGCCATTCAATTTTAATTGATTTGATTAGCCTGCGTATTGGATCGTATCGTATCACAATTGCAGTCTACTATTTATTTATAACATCAGAGTTAACGATATTATAGACCGTACACGGTTATTTTTTCAGTTTTAACAAATGTATGGATGTGACTGTAAATGGAGTTGCTACGACCAACGGTGCTCAATGGACGGTCACATTTGACCCAGTTGGTGACGGTGAAATTAGAACTGGTACGAAATTCATAGCGTCATTACATTTATAGGCCTAATCATAATAATATTTGTACGACATAATAGACCTATTTATTTATCGTTTTGCTTGTCATTAATTTAATGTAGGGCTAACTGTGATTTTAAAAAATATATCATAAGTCGACATGAAAATAGTATACATATTGATCATTAAATTATTTCAGGTTTAGAATTTGTTTTAATAGGTTTAATTTCAGTAATAATACGCAACATATTTCAGTGAAGGTATTTTCTGGGTTAGTATTCACATATATGTACAGGCACCGTTTGTTGACATCGTTATTTATTTTCGCCGATTCTATTTTGGTATTACACGCGAACTGCTTTGAATTCTGAAGTGATCGTTAGAATAAAGATTCCACCTAATTATTTGATACGGTTCCTTTGCAAAGTATGAAAACTTAATTAAAGTTATACTTCGATTTAGCTCCATACTGGATAATCGAAACTGATTATGACAACTATGCACTAGTATATGGCTGCAAAACTCATGAAGACGGCACATGTTCACACAGTGAAAACACTGTGTACGTGATGGGGCGCCAGGAAACCTTATCACAGAGGTACATGGATCGGGTCAACGAAATTCTACCTTTGCTTTGCATCGAACCCGATGATATCATCTTAACAAAACCAGGTAAGTTATGCCGTCTAATAATAGCATTTTTTATAAAATTCAACCGTTAAGTCTGATAAGGCGCATGGAATTATTAATGCGTTTGTAAGTGTCAATATACACCGTTCATACCCCAACTTTTATTATTTTTTGTATTCCAGATGAATGTCGAAGATTTCCGTTGGGTGAGTTAATAAAAAATTATATAGCAGTTCAGAAAATCTAGCTTATAGTATAATTTTACACAGAAGCATTATAATATCAAGTTAAACTAGAAATAGCCTAAAATTGTTTTTAAAAATTGTTTTATTTTATTATAAATTCCTGTAATTCAATATCGTAAACACCAATAACGGAATAAGTGGTGGAATTGTATTTAGTCGTGAGAAAAAAAACTGTAACTTTGGCACAATACATAATATTTACATGATAACGAACTTTATTATAACATATTGAAATAACGGATTGTCGTCCCGGAAATGGTATAACTGTTTCAATTTGGCATTTGCTTCCAGGATTATACGGTCGGCTGTATCTTCATTCATAAATCAGTAGTTCATCACATAATATTAATAAATAGCGGTAGTTGCGGATTCTTCCTCCATTAATTCATCCATCAATCCTTCGTTCGTTCATTCATTCGTTTGTTCACTCATTTGATCATTCAATCATTTATTCATTTTTGTTTCTTAGCCCTTTGTTATGACGAGGTTGTATGCAATACCTTTATTAATTATGTGAGTATGCATGTTGCATTTATTCATTCATTTGGTAATTCATTTATTCATTAATACATTCATCCATTCATTCATTTATTCATATTTCCTATGTCTTTTTATGGTTTCATTCAACTACGCTTAATATATTATGTAAGTATGCGTGTCGCTGAGGGGGTTCTTTTTTCATTCGTTTTCGTAACCCAGCCTTCTTAGTATATTCTTGGTGTCTTTTCCACTTTTTAAAAAGAGGTATTTCCAAATGTATTGTTTGGAGGATTAAAGACAACAAGTAAATAATATGACATTGTCTTTTCCAAACTAGGAACAGAAAAGTGTCTGGTGGAAGAGTTTCCTACCGTGAAAGATTTCGACGTCTTAAAGGTGAAGAAACTTTTTAACATATTTAACATAAGTCAATATAAGTCAACGTAAAGAATGTTTTAACAGAAGCTATAGTCGTTGATGTATGTTGAATAGTTTTATATTTAAAGTAAAATTATTTTGCATTTGTTTGTTTGTTTTTTGTTTTTTTTTAGCTACATGGTGAGTGGTTTCAGATAGGACGTCAACTGGAAGTCGACGGCGCTTCATTTCCCATCATGCGCACATTATCGTTCTTGCCACACCCTGACGATGACAGTGATATCAAGCTAATACTTAAAGGAGTTAAGTTGTAAGTAAATATTCACACAGATGTACCGTATACATTACATACATCAGCTCCAAGATCAGATTAGGAAATTTCATGGCTTATGTTTATTTGATCTTACTTACTATTCCGTCTTACCTTTTACCGGAACTTTCTATTTAAGTGTGGCTTTGTTGAGTGTGATATTTTTCCACTTCTTCGTATCTTTGGTCACAATCTACTGTCGCACCCCAACTTTTTCACCGAAATACATCCCTCCTTCTTTCCCCGTTGTCCTTCTCCGTGTGTTTCTATGCCTGTCCCTTAACATTCTACTGTTGTGCTTTTGATAGCGAGTCTGGCATAGTTTTAATTTTTTCTTGAGAAGATGAACAACAACAACCAACTCCTTCTTTTATTTCTTCACTTAAATATCGCATTTACATTATTTTTCATGTTTTATGGAATGTATCAAGTTTCTTTTCATTGGCTTTTGTTATCTTATAAGTTTCTGGGCAAATTACATTTACAAATTTTTTCTCCTTTTTGTGGGACACATTGTTTGAAGGATGTTTGACCAATAGCAATTCAAGTGTCCTCTCCACTTTGTTTCGTTACTTCTGCAGTTATTTTTTGCATATTATTATATGTTTTCTTTTTATTTAGTCGTATGCCTGTACTCTTCATGTGGGATTTAATCCTGGGGTTGTTCTTTAGTACTTGGGATCAGTGAAATGTCATCTGCATAGTCTAGGTCCTCAAAAGCTGTGACGTGTAACGTTATTTAATTCGAACTTCTTCTGGTTGTATATCATCAATCAATTTACTGCTCTGTAAAGAAAATTCCGAACACGACACACTTGCTTAATATCTGCGTTTACTTTAAGCCAATCTGACAGTTTCTTCACTGATCGTGCTACTCTCACCAATCACTTATAATTATGTTAAACGTTTTTAGTAGACTACTCCAGAGCTTCTGTGATCTTTTAAAATTTCTCCTTCTGTACTGTGAAATACTTTTTAGAAGTCGATAAAGTTGATGTATAGTGAGGTATTTCATTTTAAATTCGTTTAATGATGTTTGTCAGTATGTATAATTGTATTTTTTTCCTTTTGCCACTTCTTAATCCAACTTGTTTATCTCTGAGTGTTATGTCAATTGCTTCTTTCATTCATTAAATTTTCCCATACACTTTAACTTTACTGCCCGGTTGGTAGCAGGGATATGCGTATTATATTTTGTAAAATCAACCTTTTTGACAGTATTGTGGTAATGCTTCTTATTCCTGTTGATGGAAGTTTCCATTTTGAAAGATCTGATGAAGGATTGCTGTGAGCATATTTTCTATAAAGTTTTTGCTTAACTTCCTTCAAATTTTAGTTGTGATGCTATATTTACACATTTCTTTTTGTTCTAGGTCTGGAGTTTGTGTCGAACAAGACATTGTTGCACATGGTTACTCAATAAAATCGCGTACGGGCGCACTGACTATATATTTTCCACGTTGGATGTCAGACCATGGCATTTCCAATGAAGGTTGGCATTGACTTATATTGTAAATAATCAAAAATGTCTCGGCGCTCATCATATTTGAGATTTTTGTTTATGTATTCAAATAATCATTGTGTAGATATAATCCCTCCTGTGCTGACGAGCTACCTTGAGCGTTTTACATGATCAGGAATGTCACGATAATATTTGGACAAGCAAAAGCTGTTCATCTTTAGAAGTCATATTTCGCAGGGCCGTAGGAACAGGGGGGGCCGGGAGGGCATTGGCCCCCCCCCAACTTTTTCCCAAGAAAATGTGTCGTAGGGGCCTATTTAATAAAATATCTTCTGAGTGAGAAATATATTACTGAAAAACATCCCCACTTTTTCTCAAGAAAATGTTTTGTATCGTATTTAATAAAATATCTTCTGATTGAGAAATATTACTGAAAAACATTGCGACAAAAACTTCCGCCTCACAATGAATGAGAGTGGCTGAATACGATCTACTGTCTCAAGTCCGTCTCAATCATTGCATGTTTTTGCATATCCACAATGACAAAACAGATGCTTTAGATTCTTGTCAAAGTTGCCAATGAGTTTTGTGTAAACAACAAACACCGTTTTAATATATTTGGTACTTTCGTTGCTTAATGATACTTGGTAGCATCTATAGTTTACACAATATTGCACATTATATGTGGTTAGATCTAGTAATTGGTATATTGTAATGTATTAACATAGGATGCCATGGAAAACAGGTTTTAAAATAAAATAGGTACTCTTGCATACTCTTTGTTTCTCGTTGTTTAATTCATTTTTTTATTACAACATTACAAAACATATATAAAGTCATTTTACAGGAGGACGATGACTATCAAATAACTTAATAAAAAAAATCACTAAAATTCGTCAAATATCCGTGGCTACCGTCTGCTTATTTGGTCCCCACCCCACTTCCAAATTGCTTCCTACGGGCCTGATTGTGTTGATATTTAATTTAAATAGTTAAATTTTGAAATAATTGCAAATAGTAATTTTGAATGTAATGAATTTACAAATGTTCAATTAATTTCAATGATGTAAATTATAATAATTATATTTTTTGTCAGTATTTCTGTTTGACACAAAGTTTATATATATATATATATAGTCAAATATCAGGTTGTGCACACTGACTTCAAAAACATTGTCGTAATGTACGGATGCCGAGTGTTAAATGGAGATGGTAGCTGTCAACTAGGTAAAAACAATTTCCTAGTTTTAAGTCGCACAAAAAGTCCAACGGTGACGTCATCAGATCAAATATTAGAGATTGCATCATTGCTGTGCATCGAGAGTTCACAAATCGTTTTCGATCAAGGTATGTATCTCAACATATTTTTGTACGTCATTGAAAAGTGTATGATAATTGAAAACATTGTACTTGCTGTGAATTGATGTCGGACACGATCGTCATTGAAAAGGGTATAATAATTGAAAACCTTGTCCTTGCTGTCAATCAAAACAATTCTTAATTTTTAAAAAAACATTATTTTGTGGTTCAAAAATGTCGGCCACGATCACAATGCAAACAATAAGCCTGTGGTTGCCTCCTTCATTCCTGTACAATTATTACTATTTATTGCCGTACAATTTACCAGGTTTCGTGTTAAGTTTCCTGCTTGGATAATCGCGCTTTAGTAATGTTTGAATAATACATTGTGAATGATTACCTATATTAAGTACACAAGATCATGCGAAGTGTGAAACACACACTCCATTTTCAAAAGATAAGTTTTTCCACCCCGTGGTTCCATTTAGAAAACGCCCAAAGTCTAATTTCCTTGTAGCTCCAAATACTTGTTTATTTCAAACAGTAGTCCAACAGGGATGCTTTGTTCCCACTTACAGGCGAAAATTGTAAAAATAAACATATAATATCACAAGGTATAAAATTCAAAGTTAGAATATTGAAGCCTGATTCGTCGTCAATTCGTCAAGACTGGAAAGGCTTAAACGTTGATTACTACTGCAGTCGCCGGCCTCTGTTAGTCTACTTCTTCCCCATGTCTCCCAAACGAGCAGCCGGGGGTTTTCAATTTCAAAAATAATTTCTATTTTTTTTTTTTTTTTTTAGATACATGCGCTGAAATGAAGTACGGAATACTAGGCAATGTAAATTCAGTTGGCGGTAAAGCTTTTACTACAGTATTTGCTATTTTCTATAATTTTGGAATGGAGCTGTGAATGGACTAATTCTAAAGCTCTGTTCACTCTGTCAAATTTTCTTTGACAAAAAATGGTTGTATGCCCATATATAGTCACGATATGCCTACATATGTGATGTCATCATGACCATATTTAGGCATGTCACATGTTTTTGTGTAATACAATTTGATAGTCTGGACTGGGCTTAAACCTCGCCGCGTATATTGTTATTTTAGGTCCCAGGGTGGCGCCAGGATTTGCCCGACGGAAGGCTGAGGTCCCCGACAGGGGGAGGGGGGTGCGATACCCCCAGACGAGGAGTCAGATTTCCCCGATGAAAGCAAAGTGGGCGTGGTCGAGCTCTAAAAATTTTGACAATTTAGGGTTTTCAAAGGCTTATTTAATCGATTTTGGAGTCTAATTATATGTAGAAAATACATATTTTTTTTCCCCCCCGACGAATTGTGCTTTTTCTCTCCGACGGGG